ACATAATATTGTAAAGGTAATTAGAGACCTACTAATAAGGTACGTTTAACGCTCTAGCAGCGCTGTAGATACTACAAAATTAGCTAGCATAGAAGGCCTAGATATTAAGGATAACTCTGCCTTCTCTAGTAGTATTCTAAAGTTGTTGTTGTTAAGGCATGTTGTGTTAGGGTAAAAGGTAGTTGTGCTAAGAGAAAGTGGCTAGTTCAGTGATATAGCCAGCTTAGTGATAATCTACGTTATAGGTCTTGTAAAAAAGGAGACAGAAAATTTACTCTACAATGTGATAGTTCCTAGTTCCTTATATATAAGAGTTTAGAGGTAGTTTAGTGCAACCTTATGCTACGTGACAAGGGCCATAGTTATAAGTTGCTAGATTGTACCCTAGTGGTATTAGGTCATTGTTCACAGCGCGTTGTTACACTACCCCCTTCCTTATAGACAGATAGTCCTAACGTGAGTGTAAAGCGAGTGGGCCGGCTAAGCGAGTGGACCGCCTCAACAAGCCATTAGGCCTTCTACACGCAATCACTCAACACCACAACATTGTACTGTGGCTAACAGTACGTATTCTTAATCGCTGACGTCTACTACATCTTTTTCACACATGCGCGAGTTGTGCCCTATCTCACCACAGCACTTGCAGTGCCTTTTGCCCTGCTTGCCTGCACCTGTTTAGGCCCTACTCTTACATGTTTCCCCCTCTACCTGCGCCCTAACATCACATTAGGCTATTAAATCCTCTACCTATTCCTTTAATAGGTCTCTACCCTTCTAAATCTGCTTTCTTTTGCGTGATTTGCGCTTAGAAGCAGCCTTGTTTGACGCTTCAAGCTGCAGCACTCAGGCTGCCAATAACGTCTGCCTATGCAGTAGCATTGCAGTGCCTCTCTGCAGCTAATTAACAATCTCCACTAACGCACCTCACAAGCGAGCTGATCACCCAAGCAAGCTAATCACCCAAGCAAGCTGATCACCCAAGCAAGCTGATCACTTTTGCCAAGACCACATTAAACTTTACTCTACCTACAATGCCTCAACGCAACAACAAGAAAACGCACCTAAACAAAGCAGACATACAGCTTGCTTTCTAGGCTATCTAACAAGACGCGACACTCTCCTAGCAACGCGCTGCAGCAATCTTCAACATGCCCTAAAGCACTCTTAGCACTTAACTTGCTAGAATCTCTTTACAACGCAATTGCAAGCCTAACATAATAAAGCTAACTAGTACTAAGGAGGAGGTAATTGTCTAGCATGTATTGAAGCTAGATGAGCGAGGATACTCGCCCTGGCTTGCTGATGTGGAGGATATAGCCAATTCTCTGCTTGCTGAGCGCCACTAGCCCCACGTTAGCAAGAACTAGGCTGCTAACTTTGTTAATTGTTAGCTAAAGCTTAAAATTAAGTTTAATTGCAAGTACAACTACAAGAGAGCCCTGTGTAAGGATCCTAAGGTTATTAGGGACTAGTTCTAGTAAGTACAGAATACTAAAGCTAAGTATAGTATTCTAGATAAAGACACCTACAACTTTAACAAATCTAGCTTTATAATAGGTGTTATATCCACAGGAGCTGTTGTAATAGGCTCTAAGTGTTAAGGAAGACTAAAGACAGTGCAGCAGGGCGACTAGGAGTGGACTAGTATTATCTAGGGCATCAACGCAAAGGGCTGGTCTATCCCCCCCTTTATTATCTTCTCTAGCAAGCACCACCTCTCTGCCTAGTATAAAAAGCCTAGTATACCTAACAACTAGATTCTTAATGTCTCTAACAACAGCAAGACTAATAACAAGCTTAGAGTTAAGTGGTGTCGCAGCACATATCATGCGTATTTACCAGCTAATTTGGGGGTGCAAATGTATGTACATTTTGCCTCTATTTTGGCTGCAACAAGTGGCTAAAGCACTTTAATAAGCACACAAAGGCGCGCACTGTTAGCAGCCACTAGCTGCTTATTCTAGACAGCTATAAGAGCTACAACTTAGTTAAATTCTACTAGTAGTGCAAGGAATATAAGATTATTACCTTGTGTATGCCTCTACACATGTCGCACCTGCTGCAGCCACTTAACGTAGGCTGTTTTGCCCTGTTAAAGAAGGCCTATGGCCGCTAAGCCAAGCGGCTGATGCGCAGCAAGATTACTCGCCTTACTAAACTTGAGTTCTTGCTGTGCTTTAAAGCAGCTTTTGACGCCTTAATCACAGAGAGCAACATCTAGGGAGGATTTAGAGGTGCTGGCCTAGTCCTACTTAACCTAGAGGCTGTGCTATTAAAGCTTAAAGTACAGCTGCGCACGCTAACGCTACCTACTGTGGACAACAGTACGTAGGAGTGTAAATCACTAAGCAACACCCTAGAATTTAGGTCTTAACTAAATCTAATTTAAGAGAGGATTAAAAGACAAGCTAATACTAGCATGCTAACTTTAATAATTAAAGCTCTTAATCAGCTCACTAAAGGCGCAGAGCTAATAGCGTATTTACTAGTTTTAGTGCGTAACTAAGTTGCTGACCTACAGGCAGCTAACAAAGCTGCTATACGTTATAAATTGCATAAAAGAAAGCAGTTATAGCAAGTGTATCTAATCTAAGATTTTCTTCTCCACAATCTTTTCTCTAAAATCCTCTAAAATAGACTACAAAAACACTACTGTGGCTTCTAGCCAAACCCTGCTAAGTAACTAATTAGATTGGCTGTAACGTACTCCACAAGCGTGCCGATCACCCAAGTGTACCGGTCACTTTTGCCAAGACCACACCAAACTTCACTCTACTAACAATGCCTTAACGCAGCAACATGAAAAAGCTCTCTAATGAAGCAGACATACAGCTTGCTCTCTAGGCTATCCAACAAGACGCGACGCTCTCTCAGCAACGCGCTGCAGCAATCTACAACGTCTCTCAAAGCACGCTTAGTGACTGACTTGCTAGAGCCACCCTACGCTGCGACTACACACCTAATACTATAAATCTGACAAAGAATGAAGAGGAGGTAATTGTCCAGCACGTGTTGAGGCTAGACGAGCGAGGATACTCGCCCCAGCTTGCTGATGTAGAGGATATGGCCAATTCTCTGCTTGCTGAGCGCCACTAGCCCTACGTTGGCAAGAACTAGGCTGCCAACTTTGTTAAACGTCAGCCAGAGCTCAAAGTTAAATTTAACTGCAAGTACAACTATAAGAGAGCTCTGTGCAAGGATCCTAAGGTAATTAGGGACTAGTTCTAACTAGTAGACAATACTAAAGCTAAGTATAGTATACAAGATAAAGACACCTACAACTTTAACAAATCTAGCTTTATAATAGGCATTATATTAACAGGAGCTGTTGTTACAGGCTCTAAGCGTTAAGGGAGACCAAAGGCAGTGCAGCAGGGCAACTAAGAGTGGACTAGCATTATCCAAGGCATCTGCGCGAAGGGCTGGTCTATCCCACCCTTTATTATCTTCTCTAGCAAGCACCACCTCTCTGCCTGGTACAAGGAGCCTAGTATACCTAACAACTAGGTTCTTAATGTCTCTAACAACAGCTAGACTAACAACAAGCTTAGAGTTAAGTAGTTAAAGCACTTTAATAAGCACACAAAGGCGCGCACTCTTAGTAGCTATTAGCTGCTCATTCTGGACGGCCACAACATCGGGAAAAGTTTTTCCGTTGTCGAAATTGGGAAATCGTGGCATTGTACTGTGGGCAACAGTAGGACTTGTAGGCCTACAACAGTTATTCAATGTGCATTTAATGTCTAGCCAATTTCAAGCTAATGGCTCCAACGGTCCTAACAGCTGCAATAGCCACAACAACTCCTAATCCTGCTATAATAGTAGCTCTACTTAATAAACTATACTTTTATTATATTAATATACTACTATATCTCCTCTTTAAAATAAGCTATTAAACAATATTATAGGCCTAGTAATAGAATAGTTATTAAGTGTAGAAGGTTTTAAGCTTGATGTTCCTTGCTAAGACACTAAGTTAAGATTCTTTGCTAGGGCTCTAGCAGCCTAAATGTTAGAAAATATAAGAATATTATTCAAGAATAGTAGGTAAACCAAGAATTTTACGCCTAGGCCTGCCTGTCCTGCAAGCTCCTGTTGCGCTGCTGCTGTGTGTGTGTGTGTGTGTGTGTGTGTGTGTGCTGGCCAGCAGGTGCCATGCTGTATGCTGTTGCAGCTGCTACGTTGTGTGCGGGCGCAGCTGCAGCTGCTATGGTGTGCTGTCGCAACTTTAAAACACAAACCTTTAATAAACAAACCTTCAACGCTCTATAACTTGCGTTGTAGTAGGCCTACAATAATAATTTTTTGCTTATTTTAAAGCTACAATTTCGCTCTATCTGTATGTAAAATTTTGCAATTTTTAAATATTTAATGCTAGTGCTAGCACCACTAAGGGTAGCTATGTAACAATGTTGCAATATTGTTTTAAGTTTATTAAATATAGGCACTTAGCGTTTTAGCTGTTAGCAACGTTGGCGCGAAATTAGGGCTGTTAGGCGCAAATTAGGGCTGTTAGGGCCGTTGAACAGCTATTGCATGACTATGCCACGACTGTCAGCAACGGCTGGTCTAGGCCGGATTTTGAAAAACTTTTTTCGATGAAGAGCCACAACTTAGTCAAATTCCACTAGTACTGCGAGGAACACAAGATTATTACCCTATGTATGCCTCTACACTTGTCGCACCTACTATAGCCACTTGACGTAGGCTGTTTTTCTCTGTTGAAGAAGGCCTATGGCTGCCAAGCTAAGCGGCTAATGCGCAGCAAGATTACGCGTATCACTAAACTTGAGTTCTTGCCATGCTTCAAAGCAGCTTTTGACGCCTCAATCACAGAGAGTAATATCTAGGGAGGATTTAGAGGTGCTGGCCTAGTCCTACTTAACCTAGAGGCTGTGCTATTAAAGCTTAAAGTACAGCTGTGCACGCTAACGCCACCTACTGTAGACAACAGTACGTAGGAGTCTAAAACACTAAGCAACACCCTAGAATTTAGCAACCTACTCGCTATCTATACAGACGCCTCTTCTATTAAGAAAGGCACAGGAATAGGAATAGGAGTTACTGCTCTAGACTATAAACAGCAGGCTAAAGAAATCTACTCTACTAAATACAATATTGGCAAAGGCCAGATTGTATACAATGGAGAGCTAGAAGGCATAACAAGAGCCTTTGAGTTTGCAGCTTCTATAGCTATAGCAACACAAGAGATCCAAGTCTTTGCAGACAACTAGGCAGCCATTCTAAGGCTAAAGACTCCTTCTAATAACCCTAGACAAGCTTAGCAAATCCGCTACACAAACGCAGCAAAGGCAATTAACAGCAAAGGCGCAATAATTAGCCTACACTAGACCCTAGGACACCTAGATATCACAGGAAATGAAAAAGCAGACGTCTTAGCAAAACAAGCTACAAAACAGCAACCAGTATCTAATACCACAAGCCTTGCAATGACAGGTATTAGGATTAAAGCTATTGCAAGACAAGAGTGGCAACAGAAACTCTAAGTCTACTCCACAAAAGCAAAGCTTAGAAATCCTAGCACCTATGCAGCAAGATTCTTGCTAAAACCAACAAGCAAGATAACACTGCCAAAAAACACTAGAAGAGAAATTGCAAGCGCATACTACCAGCTAAAGCTGGGACATGGATACAACAAAGCATATCTACACAATATACAAAAAACAGAAAGCTCTAAATGCAGCTGTGGATATACACAAACACCTCAACACCTACTGCTTAGCTGTAGAAACTACAGAGAAGCAAGAAAGAAAATAAAGAGCAGCCTACAGGAGACAAGACTTACAATATCCCTTCTCCTAGACACAAACAGGGGAATCTAAGCTACACTAGCTTTTATTTAAGAAACTAAAGTAGTTACACGCAAGAGGTACCTACAGCAAATAACAGACAACTGATTTTCTTTGTTTATAACTAGAGCATAGGCTCTCACTATATATCTACGAACCTATATATACTATTCCCTTACACAGAAAAAACTTGTCAATTACTAGAGCAGCCTCACTGCTCTCGTCCTATATAGTCTTAGACTCACACAGGACGTTAAACTAATCAATCAATCGATCAATCAATCAATCAATCTAGGAGAGATAAGCTCTATCTTGCCTAGGCCTACTGCCTCTTCTAAACGACCTGCTAGCAGACCTGCTACCCCTCCTATGCCTAGACTTCCACCTTTCCAATTTAACGCTGCCACTAGACCTGTTGCCTAGGCACCTATTTTTAAGACAATAGAAGATTGATTGATTGATTGATTAGTTTAACGTCCTGTGTGAGTCTAAGACTATATAGGAAAAGAGCAGTAAGGCTACTCTAGTAATTTACAAGTTTTTTCTGTGTAAGGGAATAGTATATATAGGTTTGTAGACATATAGTAAGAGCCTGTGCTCTAGTTATAAACAAAGGAAATTAGTTGTCTATTATTTACTATAGGTACTACTTACGTGTGCCTACTTTATTTTCTTAAATAAAAGCTAGTGTAGCTTAGATTCCCCTGTTTATGTCTAGGAGAAGAGATATTATAAGTCTTGTCTCCTGTAGGCTGCTCTTTATTTTCTTTCTTACTTCTCTATAGTTTCTACAGCTAAGTAGTAGTTTTTAAGGTGTTTGTATATATGCGCAGCTGCATTTAGAGCTTTCTTTTTTTTATAACGTACCCCACGGGCGAACGACTCAACGGGCGAGCGACTCACTTTTGCCAAGCCCACACCAAACCTCACCCCATTATGGCCTCTATCAGCCCACTTCGGCGCTGCGCAGGGTAGAACAACCTGTAATATTACTTAGAAACTACTTCTACATCATTCTTGCACGTTCGCGCGTTATGTCCAGTCTTGTTACACTGTCCACAGCGCCTTTAGGTTGGCTCAGCCCCATTAGCGCGCACTTGCTTCTTTGCCTTCTTCCCATCACTACGCGCCCTAAACTCCTTTAGAGTTATTAATTGCAGGCCATCCTTAACTGTTAGGGTCCCTTCTGCCTAGACTTGCTTTCTCTTGTGCAATTTCTGGCGTGCAGCGGCCTTGTTAGCTATTTTAAGCTCAGCAATCTGTTTCTCTGCAAGCACAAGCTTGTGCGTGACTATTGCTGCGCCCTTAATGTAATGCTCAAGCGCGCTTGTTGTAGAATTTAGTAAGCTACCCTAGTATTTCTAGAACTTGTCTTGAATTAGAGTAGATCGCGACCTAAATTCTAGGGTATTGCTTAGGGTTTGCAACTGCTAGGGCTCTTTGTTAACAGGGAGTTGTAGTAATAGAGTGCACAGCTTCACATTAAGGCTGCTTATAACCTGTTCTAGGTTAAACAGGACTAGTCCAGCGCCTTAGAACCCTCCCTAGATGTTGCTAGTAGTAATTGCAGCGTTGTAGGCGCGTATAAAGCATGGCAGGAACTCAGTCTTTGTAATGTGGTTAATCTAGCTGCGCATAAGGTTGTCAGCTTAGCGCCTATACGCCTGCTTCAAAGGGGCAAAACAGCCTACATTAAGCGGCTGTAGAAGGTGCGATAAGTGTGGAGGCATACATAAGGTGATAATCTTGTTATTCCTGCAGTATTGCTAGAATTCAAGCAAGTTATAGCTCTCATAACTATTAATAACTAGCAGACGGTAGGTCCTAACAGTACGCTCCTTTGTATGCGCGTTAAAGTGCTTTAACTACTCCAGACTAAGCTTGTTAGTAGTCCAGCTGTTCTCAGAGACTGCAATAACCTAGTCTTAGGGCAGACCCTCCTCTTTGTACTAGGCAGAGAGGTGATGTCGCGCCTTGAAGATAATAAAGGGTGGTATAGCCCAGCCTGCCCTATTAATGCCCTGGATGACTGTTGTCCACTCCTAGTTGCCCTGTTGAATAGACTTTGGCCGTCCACGACGCTCTGAGCCTGTAACAACTGCTCCTGTGGATATCTGGCCTATTATAAAGCCTGTCTTGTCAAAGTTGTACGTGTCTTCATCCAGGATGCCATACTTGGCTTTAGTATTCTCTACAAGCTAGAACCAGCCCTGTATGATCTCTAGATCCTCACAGAGGGCTCGCTTGTAGTCGTACTTGCGATTAAACCTCACTTTAAGCTCTGGTTGACGCTTAACAAACGTACTGGGCCAGTTTACGCCAACATAGCCTAGATTGCGCTCAGCGCGCAAAGAATTGGCCATATCAGCCACAGCTGCAAGCCGAGGGGGAAATCCTCGCGCAGCTAGCTGAAGGATGTGATCAACAATCACCCACTCCTTATTCTTGTCTAGGTTCCGTGAGTTGGGTGCAGAATCAGCGCGTGAAGGTCGTCCAGCGCGTTGTTTGTTTAGTGTAGCTTGAGGAACCTTGTAGATAGCTGCAGCGCGCCGCTTAGAGAGATTCGCGTCTTGTTTGAGAGCCTGGAGCGCAAGCTGTATCTGACGTTCTTTTGACGCGTCTAAGTGGTGTTGTTAAGAAGGCATTGGTGTAGGAAGGGTGGTTTGGTGGGGGCTTGGCAAAAGTGAGTCGCTCGCCCGTTGAGTCGTTCGCCCGTGGGGTACGTTATATTGTATAGATATACTTTGTTATATCTATGTCTAAGCTTTAGCTAGTAGTATGCGCTTGCAATTTCTCTTCTAGTGTTTTTTAGCAGTGTTATCTTCCTTAATAGTTTTAACAAGAATCTTGGTGTATAGGTGCTAGGTTTTCTAAGCTTTGCTTTTGTAGAGTAGGCTTAGAGTTTCTGTTGCTACTTATGCCTTGCAATAGCTTTAATCCTAATACCTGTTATTGCAAGGCTTGTAGTATTAGATACTAGTTGCTATTTTGTAGCTTATTTTGCTAAGGCGTCTGCTTTTTTGTTTCCTGTGATATCTAGGTGTCCTAGGGTCTAGTGTAGGCTAACTGTTGCGCCTTTGCTGTAAATTGCCATTACTGCGTTTGTGCAGTAGATATGCTAAGCTTGTCTAGGGTTATTAGAAGGGGTCTTTAGCCTTAGAATAGCTGCCTAGTTGTCTGCAAAGACTTAGATCTCTTGTGTTGCTGTAGCTATAGAAGCTGCAAACTTAAAGGCTCTTGTTTTGCCTTCTAGCTCTCTATTGTATACAATATAGACTTTGCCAATATTATATTTAGTAGAGTAGATCTCCTTAGCCTGCTGTTTGCAGTCTAGAGCAGTAAATCCTATTCCTATTCCTGTGCCTTTCTTAATAGAAGAGGTGTCTGTGTAGATAGTAAGTAGGTTGTCCCCTAGCCTCTGTAGCATTTGCGTTTTATATTGTTCTACTTCTTCTTCTTTAGATAGTTTAGAGATCTTTGCTGTGTATAATATAGTCTTGTTCTAGGGGCAGAAATAGTAGTCCTGCAGTTTTTCTTCTTCTGTGCTAGGAGTAGTGTTTTATATTAATTGTATAATTTGCATAAGCTAAGTAAATAGGCCTCTTCTTAGCCTTAGGAGAGCAGCTACTTCCTCTTGTTCTGTGCTAGACTCTAAGTCTTCTTGTTATAACTGTAGAGTAGCTTTTAGAGTCTTAATTATAATATAAATAGGGTGGTATTTAGGTAGCTTCCTAGCTCTAAAGGCGTTTTTTCTTAAAGCAGTATTTAGTCTTATAGCAGGGGGAGGAAGTGCTACTTCTGTCACCTATAGTGCTATAGGAGAGGTCCTAAAGGTTCCTAGGATTTTCCTTAGGGCAAGATTCTGTAGTCCTTAGAGTTGCTTTCCTATTCCTGCTTGTTGTTTCTAGAAGACCTGTTAGCTATAATCTATAATGCTAGAAACGCATGCTAAATATAGCTGTCTTATAGCGCTAGGGGGGAGGCCTCTATTGCTGTTTGCAAGTCTGCACATTCTATAGAAAGCGTTTCTTGCTTGGCTAATCCTTGTAGCTACGTGTTCCTTGAATGAGATTGCATTGTCAAAGTAGATTCCTAGCCACTTTACTGTCTTTTTAGGCTCTATAGTAGACCTGTTTAGTAGTGTAAGTGTAGAGCTAATAGCTTTGTTACTTGTTATAAAGTGAATAAGCTCTGTCTTTGCTGCATTAAATTCTATAGCGCATCTTGCTCCTTTAGCAAATAGGCTTGCTATGTCTCTTTCTAGCATGCGGACAATCTTCTTTAGGCTAGTAGATAATGCTGTAATTGCTAGGTTGTCTAGGTAGGATAGGGAGTAGTTTGTAATACAATGAAACAGAGGTCTAATATATATTAGAAATAGGATTGGTGATTAATTAATTGATTGATTAGTTTAACGTCCTGTGTGAGTATAAGACTAATAGGACAAGAGCAGTGAGGCTGCTCTAGTAATTTACAAGTTTTTTCTGTGTAAGGGAATAGTATATAACGTACCTCACGGGCTCGTGGATCACCCGGGCTCGTGGATCACTTTTGCCAAGCCCCCACCAAAACCACCCCATTCTGGCGCAAAATAGCCCACTTTGGCCCTGTATAGTACAAAGCAAGATGCGATATCATTCAGAGTCTACTTCTACTACCTTCTGGCAGGTACGCGCATTATGCCCAGTCTCTTTGCACTGTGTACACTGTTGTTGAGATGGTTCACCTACTTCAGCGCGCACCTGCCTCTTTAGCTTCTTCCCATCACTACGCGCCCCAAAGTCCTTAAGAGCAGCTAAACAAGCCCCTTCCTCAACTGTTAAGGTCCCCTCTGCTTAAACCTGCTTTCTTTTGTGTAATCTACGTCGCGTAGCAGCCTCATTTGCCGCTCAAAGCTCTGCAATCTCCTTTTGCGCCAACACTAGCTTGTGCGCGATAATTACTGCTCCCTTTAAGACCTTCTTAAAAGCCTCTACTATAGACGTTAGTAAGCTATCTACATGCCTCTAAATCCTTGCCTTCACGAGCGTTGATTGCAATCCTAATTTAAGGGTATTGCTTAGGGTTTGCGACTGCTAGGGCTTATTGCTGGGGAGTAGTAGTGATAGAGTATGTAGCTAGACATTAAGCACTATTATAACCTGTTCTAGGTCAAATAGGACTAATCTAGTGCCTTAAAACCCTCCTTAGATATTACTAGGAGTAATTGCTGCATTATAGGCGCGTATAAAGCATGGTAAGAACTTAAGCTTTGTAATGTGGGTAATCTAGTTGCGCATAAGATTCTCAGCTTGGCGGCCATACGCTGTCTTCAAAGGCGAGAAACACCCCACATCAAGAGGCTGCAGGAGGTGTGATGAGTGTGGAGGCATGCAGATAGTGATAATCTTGTTCTCCTTGCAGTATTCCTAGAAAGCGAGCGAGTCATGGCTCTCATAGCCGTCAATTGCGAGCAGTTGGTGGATGCTAACTACTCTCTTCTTTGTATGCTTATTAAAGTGCTTTAACCACTGCAGGCTAAGCTTATTTATTGTCCAGCTATTCTCAGATACTGCGATAACCTAATTGTGAGGTAGATCCCCCTCCTTGTACTAGGCAGAGAGGTGATGGCGGCCCTTGAAGATAATGAAGGGTAGAATGGCCTACCCTGTCGCGTTGATGCCCTAGATGACTGTTGTCCACTCTCTGTTGCCTTGCTACACTACCTTTGGCTGTCCTTGTCTCTCTAAAGCTGTAACAACTAAACTAGTAGATATCTAGCCTATCATGAAGCTAGCCTTGTTAAAGTTGAATGTATCTTTATCTAGGATGCTATACTTAGCTTTAATGTTGGCTGCTAGGCTAAACTAGCCTTGTATAATCTTAGGATCCTCGCAGAGGGCTCTCTTGTAGTTGTATTTGCGATTAAACTTTGTTGTGAGCTCAGGGCGGCCTTTGACAAACATACTGGGCCAGTTTGAGCCAACTTGGCCCATATTGCGCTCTGCGCGCAAAGAATTGGCCATATCAGCCACAGCTGCAAGCCTGGGGGGAAATCCTCAGGTGACTAGCTCAAGTATATGCTCAACAACTACGTCCTCCTCAATCTTAGTCAGATTCTTTGATTTGGGCTAGTAATCTGCTTGTGGAGTCTATCCTGCGCGTCAGCGGCTTAGTGTTGATTGAGCAACATTGTAGATAGCTGCAGCGCGTCGCTGAGAGAGTGTTGCGTCTTGTTTAAGAGCCTGAAGGGCAGTCTGTATCTGACGTTCATTAGAAGGTTCTATCTAGCGTTGTTGTTGAGGCATCACGTAGGAAGGTAGAGTTTGGTGGGGGCTTGGCAAAAGTGATCCACGAGCCCGGGTGATCCACGAGCCCGTGAGGTACGTTATAGGTTTATAGACATATAGTGAGAGTCTGTGCTCTAGTTATAAACAAAGGAAATTAGTTGTCTGTTGTTTGCTATAGGTACTACTTATGTGTGCCTACTCTAGTTTCTTAAATAAAAGCTAGTGTAGCTTAGATTCCCCTGTTTGTGTCTAGGAGAAGAGACATTGTAAGTCTTGTCTCCTGTAGGCTGCTCTTTATTTTCTTTCTTGCTTCTCTGTAGTTTCTACAGCTAAGCAGTAGGTGTTGAGGTGTTTGTGTATATCCACAGCTGCATTTAGAGCTTTCTGTTTTTTGTATATTGTATAGATATGCTTTGTTGTATCCATGTCCAAGCTAATAGGATTGGTGAGACAGGGCTGCCTTGTGGAATTCCTGCTGTAATGCTGCTAAGGCCTTCTGTTTCTCCATTAAAGGATAGTCTTAGCTGGCGCTTAGATAGGAATAATTGAACCCATGCTATTAAGTTGCAATGTAGCTGTAGCTGTTGTAGTATAGCAAGTAGCTGGTTTAGAGCGACGTAGGATAGGGAGTAGTTTGTAATAGATTGAAACAGAGGTCTAATATATATTAGAAACAGGATTGGTAAGACTAGGCTGCCTTGTGGAATTCCTGCTGTAATGCTGCTAAAGCCTTCTATTTCTCTATTAAAGGATAGCCTTAGGTGGCGCTTACATAGGAATAATTGGACCCATGCTATTAAATTATAAGGTAGCTGTAGCTGTTATCATATAGCTAGTAGCTAGTTAAGGGCAACGTGGTCAAAGGCACCTTTAATATCTAGGAATACTGTAGAGGTTGTGCGTTTTAGTTTTCTTTGCTCTTAGACCTAGTTTAGCAGCAGTATAGATGCGTCTATTGTAGATTTTTGTGTTCTTCCTCCTAGTTGTGAGGGGTAAAGAATAGCTGTTGTTTCTGCAAGAGTTCTAAGGCGTTTTGCTACTACTCTTTCTACAACCTTGCCTAGGCAGCTAAGAAAGGCAATTACTCTATAGGCTTTAGGTGCAGTGTAATAAGGGTTGTTTAGCTTTTTTAGGATAATTCCTGTTACTTTCTTCTATTTCTATATGTAGTAGCTATAGTTAAATAGAGCAGAGAAGATAGAGAAAAATCTTTCTGTCTTTGCTTTGTATGCTGCAGTAATAATCTCTTGTGTTAGGGCGTCTAGTCCTGGAGAGCTGCATTGGATTTGTGCTAAGCAAGCGTATGCTAGCTCTTCTATAGTAAGATTAGGCCATTCCTAGTTGCTTAATTGGTAGTTGTTCCACTCTTTAGGCCTAGAGGCAGGAGGGCTGGGGAAGAGAGTTTCTCTTAGTGCAGAGCATTTGCCTTGAAAAGATTCCTCTATTCCCCTTAGGCCTTAGATAGCAGGTATGTTCTAGCTATAAGTAGTTCTAGTATAAGCCATAGCTTTAAAGACTAATTTAGGGTCCTCTCTCTCTAGGAAATGGTTCTAATAGTCGCGTTTTGCTATTTTAATAGCTTGTAGATAGCTGTTTCTAGCTATTAGGTATTCTCTTTTCTAGGTGTAGGCACTTGTTAGGCTAATAGCAAGTTCCCTCTGTAGTTTGCGTTGTTTGCTGAGCATGCTTGTCCTAAGTGCTTTTAGGTCTTGATTCCACCAGGGCTTGCTTTTTGCAGTGGTAGAACATTGCGGAATTGCTGCCTTAGCTGCTTTAGTTATAGCTGTAGTAAGCTCTTTGGCTAGTGTTTCTAGCTGCTCTTCTAGGTCCTGGTCTTCTCCTTAGATAAGTGCTAGAGATCTGCTTGCAGAGTAGTTTAGAGTGCTCGCGTTGCTAAGAGCGGAGCTGTTTACTTTCTCCTTTGCTAGTACTTTGCTAAACAGGTTCTAGTTTGCTTTCTTTATATTAAACATAGGAGCAGGTTTGTTAAGTTAATGTATTCTAGGCATCCTTATTGTGAATAAGATGCCTAGGTAGTTACAGCCAATTCCTCCTAGCGTTTGCTAGTCTTCTATAAGGTTTGCTAGCTGTGTTGTAGCAAAGGTTAGGTCTAGGACACTCTCTCTATTTATATTAGGCCTAAAGAAAGTGCCTGTGCTAGGACTGTTTAGTAGTTCTAGGTCTTGTTCTTCTAGCTAAGTAACAAAACTAGTTGCTCTTGGAGTTATAGTAGACACTATAGGGTCCCACTATAGGTGGTTAATATTGAAGTCGCCAAGCAGGATGGCGGAGGGCAAGATAGAGGTGCTAAGGAGCTTTCTCTCTATTGTAGTGTTGCCTTGTGTGTCTAGCTAGTTGTAGACATTGTAAATAGAGAAGGTTGTTCTAGAGCTCTTCACTATAATAGCTAGGAAGTTAGGATCAGGACTAGTGTCTGCTAATATAGTAACTTGCGCTTGTGTAGTGCGTGCAGAGTAGACTAAAACACGTGGTCTTATGCTATAATCTTGTAACAAAGGAAGGATTTGTGTAAAGGAGGGGTAATTTATAGAGTGTGTGTCTAAGTAATCTAAAGAAGATTGTCTAGCAGGAATAAGCTTAGGCTCTTATACTAGTACAAGGTCTATTACTGTAAAGTTATAAGACTTTGTTCTTATAATCTTTCTCTAGCGTATTACCTTCTTAGGTATAGCGCTATGCTTACCTAAGCATTGCTATTGTAATCTCCGAGAAGAGAGGATTAGAATGGTGTGCTTACGAAGCCTGTATCTCCTCTCGTTCTTAAGATATGCTGTTCTCTATTTTTAGTAACTAGAAATGTTCTAGACCCTCTGCTTACAAATAGAGTAGCCTACTCTGTAAGATGCTGACGTATACAATTACGCATACACCTACGTAATCTTGCTTGCATATACAGCAATACTAAGCTTAGATGCAGTAGACCTACTAAGAGGAGTCTAGAACGTTCTGCTTAGAAATACAGACAGAGGAGAGGAAGCATAAATACCTCTGGCTCTCCCCCCTCTGTTCGCTCTGTACCTAGCCTAGGAATCTTTCCCTAGTATCTAATATAATAACTTGTCTATTATATTACATAACCCTACCTTACCTCTATTAGGCTATACGCTTCCTATTTAGACAAAGCTAGTCTAGATTTGTCTAGGTCCTTCTAGACTAGGAAGAAAGTAGTCTAGTCCTTCCCCTACTTTCTTTACAATTACTAGTTCTACTACAAGTTGCAAGGCGCTCTCTATTGCTTGTGCGCTCTTGTTTAGATTTACTTGTAGGATCCTTAAGTTGTCTAGCATTCTAGGTTTGTTTGCGCGTTTAGTGTAGCTTTATAAGCTGCACATTGTGTGCTATCTGCAGTGTGTGCCTCTTTGCAGTTTATGCACATAGGTAGAGTGTGTGCACAGGTCTTGCCTTTAGCATTACACGTATTACACTTGTGGAGTGCTGTAGGGTGCTCCTTTGCACAGATTTTACAGGTAGTGCTATAGAGGCACCTAGTCTCTGTGTGGCTGTAGCGCTGGCAGTTTTGGCATTGT